GGGACGGGCAGCCCCTGCCGGCGACCGTCGGTGCGGCTCGGCTGGCTCTCGGGCCCCAGCCGCTGCTGCGATTCCTCGTCCGTCGCGGGACACACGGGGACGGCGGCGGTGGGGGCGGCCCTGAGAGAACGGGGAGGAGCGTGGGCCGTCGGCGGCTCCAGCAGCCGGGGGAAGGAGGCGGGAGCTCTCCCTTTCCTCCGCTCGGAGCTGCGGGCGTTCGGGACGCACAGCCGGGAACTGGGAGGACGCGGCGATTGCGGGCCCGGGCCAGGTGGGGGCGCTGGGAGCCACCGAGGTGGGGGGCGGGCTCGAGCGGGGAAAATCCCGAGGGAGCAGGTGTTGGGTTGGCCGGCAGAGGAGAGGAACGCGAGCCCTTCGGGGCCGGAAGCGCCCAGAGGGGCGAAGGTTTCGGGGTTAGGGGGCGGGCGTGCACACGGGTCCGAGTTGGGGGCGTTTCTAGAAGGAATATGCTGGGGCAACACTGGAGCAAGTGGGAACTCTGGTGTGAGCGTGTGTGAGGTATTATATTTTAGGAACCGAGCAAGAGAAAAAAAAAAAAAAGTTCATTTGGGATGTGAAGTACAATGAAATAGGGATGCGTGAGGTCGTCTCTGTGGGTGTCCCAGGTCCTTAGGATTTGAGGGCAGTAATGAGAATTGAAGATAAGGAATAGAAGGACATTCTTGTAATTGAGAGAGAGGCAGAGAAATACAATAGATAAGGGTTGGGCTTGAATTAAAGTAGATGGTAGAGCCAGAGTGTGAAGAGTAGGTGGACGACGGTAATATCTCCTCTCATTCATCCAAGATGATTGGGTTCTTTCAGAAAGAGGGTCTTTCTCAGAATGGACGTATAATTACTTTCCCTCTGTTTAGCAAGTTACTGTATTTAATTTATCTGTAATTAACGAAGAGAGGACACGAAAAGAGAGGACACATCGCCAAAAGTACAGTGCTTTGGGTTAAGTCGGTGACAATGCAGAGTTCAGGGTGTTTGGGGAAGAACCAGAGCTTATTTTCAGCTGGATCAAAAAGTGATAAATAGCCTTGATAAAATCTGAGTTATCTATACTTTTTAGAGTTGCATTTTCTCCCTGAGAAATGTCTAGGAACATTTTTACTGGTTTTATGCTTGAGGGAGAGTTGGAATTCTGTCCTAAGAAAGTGTTTCTTGATGACTACTTCAAATTATCAGGGTACCTCATACCTGCCAGTTGGTCCTAGATGATTTGGGAATATTGTGGGAAAGTATTTCTAGGGTTATGGTCTTTGCATTTTTTTTTAATACTTGGATTTTCAGTCCAAATTTAGGATGGAACTAAATAGAATATTGCTGACTTTGAAACTGCAGTTACCATTATGTGGTTATAAATAGTCTATGTTAAGCTTTTTGTTTATTGGGCATAAATTTTCCTGACTCCTCTGAGATTTCTGTGTGTTTATCAGTATATTTTTCAGTTATGTCTCCAGTGGTAGCTTTAGGCTACTTTATAAAGGTCCAAAAATAATGATGTAGGATATAGATTGTAGTTTTGTGAAAAGAACTGAACAAAGCAAGAGTGAGTGCAGTGTCCTTAATTAGTGATTTTTTTTTGTTTTGTTTTGTTTTTGAGGCAGGTTTTCCCCTGAATTCACTACATATCCCAGGCTGGCCTGGACTTGGCCGGGCAGGCAATCCTCCTGCCTCAGCCTCCCTAGTGCTGGGATTACAGGGGTATGCTGCCACAACTGGCTGTGATGTGGTTCTTTATTGACCTCTTTCAGTGGGTTAGGCAAGGTGCTCAGATTTGTTTTGTGTGGATTACCTCATTTGATTTAATCTTCACAATTGTTCTCGTCATAAACAGTTAAGGACACAGAGCTAGTGAATACAGCTGGATCCAGACTGAGCTCGTCTGAAGCATTCTTTAAATCTTCACTGTCTGATTTTGTATTCCACCCCCACCTTAGTTGTAGTAAAGCAGCATGAACTGGTTGAAACATAGGTCTGATACACCAGTGATTTTGATTAAGATTGGATTAGTAGGCTATACTTGTAGAGTTTATAGAAAGTTTGTTGTTCTTGTAATTTAGCAAACTTTTGGCACCTCTAAGAAGGCTAAAAATCTTGCTCAGGATTTATCTTGTGATCACACTTAACTTTCTGTTTAGTGTACTGCAGAAGCACTATGCGTATGTGGCACTTTTACTCGTAAAAGTCGAGACAGCTGGTTGTGGAGCCAAAGCCAATTAATGAACTGAAAAACAGTTGAAAACTGCTCAGTGTTCAAGTGCTGTTCAAGCACCTGTTGAATCCACAGGTGATACTGGTATTACCTGATGTAGACCCGATTCTCTTAGAAACCGGAATGAAACAACTGGTGGGGTGGGGGGAACAGCTGGGGCCTGAGGGAGGGGCCACAGGTTACTGGTGGAAACTTCAACCCCGGGGCCTGATCAGGCTGCAGATGCTAGTGAATGGCAGGAGGAGAGGGAATTTTCTTGTTTTGAGATTTTTCTGTACCCAGGCACTGACCTCTGTGTGAGATAGATATATATGTGTGTTAGAAAATAGTTATGTTATTCCCATTTCTCAGATGAGGCTCAGAAAGGCTAGGTAACTTGGATAAAGTCACCTAGTAATGGCAATGATGAAAAATTGAATGTAGTGCCATTTTTAAAATTGTTGCTCAAAAGTTTCCCACTATAGAGCCATGATATTAAAGCTGGAAATTAAAGGTCACTCTTTTGGATCCACCTTGCTTCTCCTTTAGAAGTAACACATACTAGTCTGGCAGTCTGGGTGCCTTTTTTTGTTTTTGTTTTTTAGGATGGGGTCTCACTCTGTTGCCCAGGCTGGGCCCAAACTGTTAAGATCAAGTGATCCTTCTGCTTCAGGCCTACATCAGGAGGACTACATGTACACACCACTGGGCCAAGCCATGCGTTCTGTCATTCTGTTTACCCATACATCCTCAGTGTATATTTAGGTTGCTTTCCATCTTTTGGCTATTGTGAATAATGCTACTTTGAACATTGATATACAAAGTGTGTTGGAGTCCCTTCTTTAGTCTTTAGGCTATATACACAATGTGGAATTACTGGATTATGTGGTAATTCTGTGTTTAATGTTTTGAGGCAGCACAGTTACTTTAAAATGGTCATTTTATTACATGTTCTCCTGAAGGTAGCACTTGGTCTTATGTATGCAGGATGTATGCAGGATAAAGTCTACTGACTTTCTGTCTTATTAGCAGACACTGGTAGTAGAAATGGTTCCAAAGGAAATGTTTTACTCAGTTTTCATGTATCCCGTGTGGAAGGTACTATTTGTGATACACAGATTTTTTCATTCAGGTGCAAATGGGGATAATTGCTTTTAAAATGTGTCTATGAAAAATGTCAGTTGTGTAAAGCTTTGCTGCCTTTGATTGGAATTCAGGGTTTTTAATTTATTTTCTAGTTTTGCTGTGCTCAGAAATCAAACCAAAGGCCTTGTGCATGCTAGGCAAGTACTTTACCACTGAGCTATTTCCCAGTCTGCTTTTGTTTGTTTTAAGACACAGTCTCAGCGTGTAGTACAGGCTAGCCTTGAACTCACTGTGATCTCCTGCCTCAGCTTCCCCAGTGCTAGGATTACAGGTGTGTGCCACCACAGCTGGCCAGTCTTGCTTTTTCATTTGAAAATGTTTTATGTGTATGAGCTGCTGTTGGTTACCGCTTACATTTGTATGTTTTTTTCATTCACTTAGAAAAATTTGAGTGCCTGTTGCGTGTGCTTTTTTCCTTTAGTGTTTTGAGACAGAGTCTTACATAGTTTAGGCTGACCGTGAACTCACTAGGCCAGGCTGGCCTCAAACTTGCAGCAGTCCTCCTGCCTCAGCAATCCTCCTGTCTCACCCTCCTAAGTGCTGGGATTACAGGCCTGTACCACCATATCTGGCCTTGTATGCTTTAGATATTTATAACAGGTACTTGCAGTACGTGGACAGAACAGGAAGTAAAACTGATTGAAGTCACTTGTTTGATTCCATTTTCTCTCTTCTTCCACATATAAGTTGTCACATAATACCAAATATAATAGGTTGATACAGCTGTAATGAACTGCCCCTTAGAATGGGTCTCACTTCCCATTTCATTTTTCCTAAATATCACATGGAGGTTAATTATCCCAGCACCTTGCCTTATAACATTATTTGTCTTTATAGTGACTTCAGGCTTGTATGCCATTTTCTGGGGGCCTTGTAGAAGACTGAATGAGCCCACACGTACTTTGGAAATGGCTTCTCTGAATCTCAGGCCAACTGGTAGATAGTTGAATTGGCTCAGAATTGTTTGTTTGGTTGTTTTTTGAGGCAGGGTCTTGCTGTGTAGTTCAGGCTGGCCTTGAACTCACAGCAGTCTTTCTGGCTCAGCCTCCGGAGTGTTGTGCCACCGTGTGTGCCACCGTGCCCGGCTCTGGCTTTGTAGTGAACAAACTAGCCTTGAATTTACTGTGTAGCTGGCCATGGTGGTACATACCTGTAATCCCAGCCCTCAGGAGGCTGAGGCAGAAGGATCGTTGTGAGTTTGAGTCCAGCCTGGAATACAAAGTGAGCTCAAGGCCAGCCTGAACTGCGTAGTGAGACCCTGTCTCAAAAAGACAGGAAAAAAAAAAAAAAAGAATTCACTGTGTAGCCCTGGCTGGCCATGAACTCACAGTGATCCTCATGTCTTAGCTTCCTGACTGCTGGAATTATAGGTGTGTGTCATTGCAGTCAGTGGCTGTGAAACATTTTTAAAGATTTTAAAATACTTTATTTTTAGGTGCTAGATGGTAAGGACTGGCAGAGGCCAGCGTTCACTGTTCCTCTTCACATCCACCATGGCAGACTTAGGTGTGGATTCCTGAAAATGCATCATCTCCACACTGCAGGGGCTCTAGGCCCTTAAAACATTCTGGTGGTCTGATGATAGTAGTCAGCTAACAGCCATCAGCTTAGAGGCAGTTCTGTGGCCATTGTCCTATGACTGCTCTGTGGTTAGGCACAAGTTGTTGGGAGGTTTTGTTACGGCAAAAATTCGGGCTGTATTCCACGAGAGACCAAAGAGAACAGACAAAGTTTTAATTTAGAACAGTCACCTCTCATCCCAACTTGTAAGTCTGGGAAGTGGGCGTGGACCTGCTTTTGTTCCCAGCTTATATACATTTTTGGTTTCCATGGTAACAGATTGGAATGTTGTAGCCCTGGCCACATGTTGTTTTCCTTGTGCCACCTAACCCAGTCAGGCTCCAGTCATGAGCCCAACCACAATGATACATACTTTCTGTACTCTGTTCTATATATCCCCCTTTAGATAACCATACATTTCCCTTACGGTTACAATGTTTATCTAGGGCCAGGGAAGGGATAAAACAACCCAGGCAGGGTCATAGGTGGTTATCTGGGCCCTGGTGTTCTTTGTCTTTGGAGAAGCATTCCAGGGCTAAGTCAGGAC